GAGTCTGCTTCTCCCTCTCTCTCTGTCCCTCCCACTCCCCCCCCACTAGTGCACACACACTCTCTCTCTCTCTCAAATAAAGTCTTTTATAAGAATTGGTTTTTGATATAGGTGGCATATAAGAATGGATGAATGTGTTAAACTTGTGAGTTCTAGTATATCTGAAAAGGGCTCTTTCACCCAGTACATTGGTTCTTTTGCAGGATAGGAATTCTACTTGAAATTACTTTTCTTTATAATTTTGTAGTTATGACTTCTGGCTTAGAATATTGAGAACTCCAAAGGCATTTTCATTCCTGCATTTTTATTTATGCCCTATTTTTAATCTTTGGAATATTTTATGGTCTTTTCTTTGTTTCTAGTGTCCTGGAACCCAATGTAACATATATGTTAGTGTGAATCATTTTTATTCTTTATTCTAGGTATCAAGTGAGTCCATTAAATGTGGAGATTCATGTCCTTCAAGTCTGGAAAATTTCTTAAATACTACTTTCTAAAACAATCCGTAATTTCTGTTTTCTTTGAAAATTTTCTAATATACAGCAAAATTGAAAGAATATTCCAGTGTACCCTATATACCCTATTTAGTCATCACCTAAAATTGCCAATTGTTGACATTTTGCCACATTTGCTTTATCTTTCTAAACACACACGCACTCACGCACACACATATTCCTCACCCCCTAGAATCATCTGAAAATAAGTTGGGGACTCTGGACATTTTACCCTTAATTCTTTTAGCATGCATTTCCTAGGTATAAGGACATTTTTCCAAACAATAACAATGACATAGCAAATCTGAAAATTTACATTAACTCATTAATATCACCTCAAACATTTCATGTTCAAGTATTTCCAGTGGTTCCCAAAAAAGTTTTTTTTTTAGCTGATGTAATGTTTTTTGTTCATTTACTTGGTCACTTGTTTGTTTGATCTAGGATCCAGTCAAGATTCATGTATTATTTTAGATGTTGGGTCTCTTTAGTCTCTTTTAATCTAGAACAGGCTTTCATTTTTTGTTTGTTTGTTTAATATGACACTGAATGTTTTAGACAATTCAGACAGTTCTCTTATAGACTGTCTTAACAACCTCCATTTGTCTGATGGCTTTCTCATGGAAATCGGAGGCTTAGATTCAGCTTAAGTATTTGGCAAGCGTAGGATGTAGGATGGTGTACCTTTTATTACGTTACATTGGGAGACAGGTTGTTGCACTATTGGTGATGCCCAGTTTTTTTAACTTAAGGTTAAAGGTGGTGAATACTAAATCTTCCCAGTATAAAGGTATATTTTTCCCTTTATAATTAGTAAATAGCCTGTGGAGTGACACTATGAGACCAGTGAATATCCTTTTTCTCAACAACCATTCACTTTCTGGTTTTAGGATTTACTGAGAATCCTTGCCTGAATTAATGTTTAGATTAGATTATAGTGGTGCTTTCAAAATGATAATTTTCAGATTGCTTTATTCCTTCTAGCACCCTGCCTGACACTTGGCAGATGCTTAGCACACTTTTAAAAATGTTCTCTTTCCATTAGATATTGAGCTGCCTTGCATGACCTTCCAATTTTCATTCGTTTTCCATTTGCATATCTTCTTGTACTTTTTAAAGAGATTTTTCGGGGCGCCTGGGTGGCTCAGTCGTTAAGTGTCTGCCTTCGGCTCAGGTCATGATCCCAGGGTCCTGGGATCGAGCCCCGCATCGGGCTCCCTGCTCCGCGGGAAGCCTGCTTCTCCCTCTCCCACTCCCCCTGCTTGTGTTCCCTCTCTCGCTTTCTCTCTGTCAAATAAATAAATAAAATATTTAAAAAAAGAGATTTTTCATTTATATTTTAATCTTTGTAATTATTTGTTTTTATTCCCACTTTATATTTTCATTTCCTAAGATTCTTTTTTTATCTCATTCCCTTTACGTCATCCTAGTTTTCTACCATGTAAAAAAATAACTTCTCATGTCCTTCTTAGGATATTAATAGTGGTTTCTGAAATTTTTCTTGTTTTCTTATGTAGTTTCTCTTCTAAGTTCTTTGGGGTTTGTTTATTTAATCTTTTCTTACATGTAAGTTTTCCTTAACTATGTGATGGTATTTGCCTCTCCGGAGTTTAGAGCAGACACTATGAACCTGACTTAACTTTTTGTATGCCAACTGGTAAATTTCCGTAGGTACATAGTGCCCCCATTTTTAAAGCCTTTCTGGGGATTCTGCAGCATAAATCATCCTCCTCTGGGTTTTCTTTACTTTTTGAGTTAGGTTTCATCATTCTTTGGTTTGTTAAGTTAGTCATCATTTATTTTTCGAACTTAAAAAGTTTTGTTGCTTCTACCTCCACTTTAATTCTCTTTGCCTGAGCATTTGGTCCTTTTTAAAAAGTCCATTTCAGGGTACCTGGATGGCTCAGTGGTTAAGCGTCTGCCTTCAGCTCAGGTCATGATCCCAGGGTCCTGGGATCCAGTCCCACGTTGGGCTCCCTGCTCAGCAGGAAGCCTGCTTCTCCCTCTCCCACTCGCCCTGCTTGTGTTCCCTCTCTCGCTGTCTCTCTCTCTCTCTGTTGAAGAATAAATAAAATCTTTAAAAAATAAAAAATCCGGGGTGCCTGGGTGGCTCAGTTGGTTGAGTGACTGCCTTTGGCTCAGGTCATGATCCTGGAGTCCCGGGATCGAGTCCCACATTGGGCTCCCTGCTCAGCGGGGAGTCTGCTTCTTCCTCTGACCCTCCCCCCCTCATGCTCTCTCTCTGTCTCATTCTCTCTCTCAAATAAATAAAATCTTAAAATCAAATAAAAAATAAAAAATCCATTTCATTAGTTTTAGTGAAGCTTTTAAAAGGGCAGGAAAAACTGTATGTGATCCACTTGTCCTCTTTGAGAGAAAGTATTCTCTTTCTAGAGAGATCTTGTTTTTACATGTTTATTTTTAAGGATAATGAGTTTTGAAACTAATTTATTATATTAGGCATTCATTAAATGTATCTTGATCTTTTCGCATGTGCCAGAATTCAAGCCAATTAAAGTAACAGGCCTTGATTATCCTTCCTTCCTGAAGGCTGGCTCTACTGTAAAAGACAGGCATTAAGCAAACATTCAAATATGAAGTTTGCAATTGTAGGAGACAAATGTGTAATCAACCCTTACCAAAACAGAATACAAAGAATGGAAGGAAAAAAAGGGGGAAAAGTGCTTTGAGAGGTAATGGTGGGATGTGCATAATTAAGACTGAGTATTCAGAAAAGATCTTTATTAGGATATGCCATGTAGCAGAGACCTGAACAATGTCCAGGAACTGGTAAGGCCAAGAGTATAGACAAATATGTAGGGTAGATGAAATCATTTTGTGTATGTGTGTGGGGGGGAAGTATTATAGTTTAGTGCATTTAAAAAACTGAGAAGACTGGTGTAGCTATAACTTATTGTTGAGGGGAGAGAAGTATCAGGTTGAAGAGGCAGGTAGGAGGCAGATTACTGAGGACTTGTTAAGACCAAGTTAAGGAATACAGATCTTATCCTAAGGACAATGGGGAATCACTGAAACATTTTTAACAGAACACTGCCAGGCTGAATATCACTCTGGCTACTAAGGGTGTAAAACTGGAAGGGCAGTCAACTAAATAAAATGCTGCTTTTGTGCCCAAATAAAAGACAATTTTGGCCTGGATCATCTGTTGACAGTGGAGATGGAAAGAACAATTTCAGGACATATTTAGGCCTACCCCAAACAATCTTGCTGTGTAAGTGTTATAAGAGGAGAATGGAGCTCAGATGTTTTTACCTTTGGGGTTTGATGTATTTGCTCAAGGACTTAATTGATAGTTTTAAATCCATTCTTTTTCCTAGTCTCTTTTCTGGCATGTAGGTCTTCCAAAAATAATAGCTACTAAACACTGTGGCAGTTACTTTATACAACTACATAAATATATTTTGTGTGATTTCAGAATCATTCAATAATCACTGGAGCTGGGGTTCAGAATACTTATCTGTTTGCGTCCTTGCAATCTGCCAGTAGTATCACCTCTATCTGCTCTTCCCTTCTCTCAGACTTTAAAACTAGATTCTCAATTACAGTAGCTTTTGCTGAGTCCCCTTTTTTGTTCTCCCAAGCTTAGCCTCATAGACTTCCTTGGCAAATGTGGATTTTATGAAATGGCATAAATAAGCCACATTCTAACCACCGTAGATTCTTCCTTCTGCAGTGCTCATTTGTCACATTAATCTTTCATCAGGATATTGCTATATCTGGAGTAACATTCTCTTCTATTTCCTTCAGATTATATGCAATTTATGTTTGTTACTTGATTGATTATCCTAGATTTTTCCTTCTAGTTGTAGTTTCTTAATGCTCCAAACAACCCTAAGAAATGGGTTAAATGGTAATTACCCTCATTTTACAAAATGTATATGACACTAGATTTATTCTCTAACAAAATTGGGGTAGAGCCTAGATGTCTTTATATTTATCAAGGTCCCCGTGTTTGAAGGGGATTTTTATTTAAATTACTATTTAGGAACAATTGACTAATCTGTTTTCCTAAATATCTCCTTCACCTTCCAGTGTGACTTCTTTTTACTTTGCTTTTCAACTGATCAAATTGCCCAATCATATTTAAGAACTGTATAAGCTATTCACTTTTTATGAAAATTAGTTTCAGTTAAGTCTTTTCATTTCTATTAAAGTTTTTTTTCTCCCAGAACACAAAAAAAGTGAATGTTTGCTTTTATATTTTCTTTCAGACTGTGAATCAAGGTTGAGACCAAGAAATTATTTCTGAAAAAGGATATTTATGGAATAGAATCATCCTGATGAGAGATAATGGAAAGACTTATAAAAAACAGCATTGAGTGTTCAAGTTTCAGAGGTGATTGGGAATGTAAAAGCCAGTTTGAGAGAAAACAGGAATCTCAGGAAGGACATTTCAGTCAAATGATATTTACTTCTGAAGACATGCCCACTTTCAATACCCAGCATCAGAGAATACATACTGATGAGAAACTCCTTGAATGTAAGGAATGTGGGAAGGATTTTAGTTTTGTATCGGTCCTTATTCGACATCAGCGAATTCATACTGGTGAGAAACCTTATGAATGTAAAGAATGTGGCAAGGCCTTTGGTAGTGGTGCAAACCTTGCTTACCATCAAAGAATTCATACTGGTGAGAAGCCTTATGAATGTAGTGAATGTGGAAAGGCCTTTGGTAGTGGCTCAAACCTTACTCATCATCAGAGAATTCATACTGGTGAGAAACCATATGAATGTAAAGAATGCGGGAAAGCCTTTAGTTTTGGATCAGGCCTTATTCGACATCAGATAATTCACAGTGGTGAAAAGCCTTATGAGTGTAAGGAATGTGGGAAGTCCTTTAGTTTTGAATCAGCCCTTACTCGGCATCACAGAATTCACACAGGTGAGAAACCTTATGAATGTAAGGATTGTGGGAAGGCTTTTGGCAGTGGTTCAAACCTTACTCAACATCGAAGGATTCATACTGGTGAGAAACCTTATGAATGTAAAGCATGTGGAATGGCCTTTAGTAGTGGTTCGGCCCTTACTCGGCATCAGAGAATTCATACTGGTGAAAAACCATATATATGTAATGAATGTGGGAAGGCTTTTAGTTTTGGATCAGCCCTTACTCGACATCAAAGAATTCACACTGGTGAGAAACCTTATATATGTAAGGAATGTGGGAAGGCTTTTAATAGTGGCTCAGATCTCACTCAACATCAGAGAATTCACACTGGTGAGAAACCCTATGAGTGTAAGGATTGTGAGAAGGCCTTTAGAAGTGGTTCAAAACTTATTCAGCATCAAAGAATGCACACTGGTGAGAAACCCTATGAGTGTAAGGAATGTGGGAAGGCCTTTAGTAGTTGTTCAGACCTTACTCAACATCAGAGAATTCATACTGGTGAGAAACCTTACGAATGTAAAGAATGTGGCAAGGCCTTTGGTAGTGGCTCAAAACTTATCCAACACCAGCTAATTCACACTGGTGAAAAACCGTATGAATGTAAAGAATGTGGAAAGTCCTTCAGTAGTGGTTCAGCTCTTAACCGGCACCAGAGAATACACAGTGGTGAAAAACCCTATGAATGTAAGGAATGTGGGAAGAATTTTGGTACTGGCTCAAGCCTTACTCAACATCAGAAAATTCATACTGCTGAGAAACTTTATGAATGTAAGGAATGTGGAAAGGCTTTTGGGAGGGGTTCAGAGATTCAGCAACATAAAAAAAGTCATACTGATGAGTAGCTCTGTGAATTGGAAATTTATGTTAGAATTATGTGGTTAAGGAAGGACACAGGACACATAAGAAAACTCATATTAGGGAGTGTCACTACAAATGTAACTAAGGTACAAATGCCTTACTTGTGCTTTACCACTTCATCTGAGAGAATTTATACAGGAAAAGAAAAACCAATTTGAAGAACTCTATCTATATTCATTCTTTCATTATTTTTGGAAAATTCATACTTGTGAATATTAAAAATTAAAAAAACTGCTTATTGTATTTTGCCTTTATTTTAAACATCAAAAAATTCATTTGGGGGCTAACCCTAATGCTTTTGCTTACTGATCCATCTCAAAATTATTTTAAATTATTTATTGAGGGTCTAAATTTGTCCCTCCCTGTTTCTCATTTCAATACCATTTATTTAATAATCTTATCTATTTTTGTATTTTTTATTGCCTGTTTGATGGTAAGTTATATTTTTATACATACGAAGCATGGATATCAGGTCAGTCTTTGTTTTCTAAATTTGCATATCTGTGTTCCATTTTGTTTGTGTTGTTACTGTTACTTCTAAATATCCTTTAATATCTTGTGGATCTATATCTTTTGTTTTGGAATATTGTTTTACTTTACTTTTATAAAGTCTACACTCTTTTTGCCAAACAGTTCTTCTCTATATTAATGTAGATATGAACAAAAATAGTTATCTGTAATCATACCAACCGTAGACAATCATTGTTGAACTTTTGTAGCAAACCCTTTAAGACTATGTCATGGTTTTTGAAAGAAAGTGTGATTATGCTATACTATAACCAGCCTTTAATATTCTTTGTAAATATATTGTTCCTCATCTATTGGCTTGAAGGTATTCACCTGTCTTTTTCAAGCCCCTATTTTGTCAAATATGGAAAATTTTGCCATTATAAAGAGTTATCTTGATGGCTCCTTTTAAATGTGTCTTTATTTTTTATTGTTCATTTCAGAGAAAATGTATGGGGTCTTTTCTGCTTTTAAAGATTCATACCATAATGTATAAGCTCTGCTTCCCTTGACCAACGTTCGTGACCCTAGTTATTTCCCCAATGTTAACCAACTTACTTATTCTTCCAGATCCTTTTATATGCATATATAATGTGCTTATGGTAATGTGGGCATAATTAACTCACTTCAGAGGCTTGTTATGTGGATTCTACAATTGTGCCTATCACATAATAAAACTTGCTTAGTATTAGCCTTTGTCATTATTATTATCTTTTCAATTTTGTTATGGAAAAACTTTTAACTAGTATCCATGTTTTACTGAACATCAAAGACAATATGATGGAAAAAAAGACATTCATGTAAATGAATATAAGAAAAGTTTGACCAACATCTATTTCTTATGACAAGAGATAATTCATCTTAAAGAAAAATATGTGATGGTAAAGTGTAAGAAGGAAAAATTCATACCAAGGTGAAAATAAAAATTCTTCATAGAAATTTGAATTTTGAGGAATGACATCAGCATCATGACAGCATAAGATGCCTACCCTCATTTGGCCCCTCTGTGGTTGTTGTGGGATCCAACACCATAAGCTAAGGAACCTGAGAGGAGTCTCACCCATATCGAGTAATAAGCTGACAGTCCTTGATACAGGCTGTGAAACCAGCAGGAGTCTGAACCAGCCCCAGCCCCTTTTGGCTGCATTAAGGGCAAATCTGGAGAATGCTGATTTGAGCAGACACTCACAAATGAGAGAGCCTTTGTAGAACTCCAGATTTCCTGAGGAGAGAGTCTAGCACTGTGTTGGAGAAAAAGAAAAGAAAAAAAAAAGGAGGGGGTAAGATGAACTTTACCAGTGCCACCCCTTCCCCAAGGTGGCATACCATGGAGCTGAACTAGCCAGCAATGACTTCTTCTGCAGGGGAAAACAGTGGGTGATTGTCCAGCTTCCCTACCTGTATGGGATGCTGCTAAAGAAACTTGTTTCTCTCCTGCAGTACCCACAGTATTGAGGCAGTACCTGCATGACTGCAGCGAGAGGAAATGAGGATATAAGAATATCGGAATGTATTAAAGAAATACAATTCCTACCAGCTGCATCCAGGTCTCCAGCAGGAAGCCCACCACAAGCCGCTGGGAGAACCTTGCACAAGGATCCCCCACTTGGCTTGCAGGCACACCCAGTGCCCCAAACATTAAACCCACAGCTCCCTTAATTCTTCAACTAGCTCTTTGTGTACACTCCCAAGTATGGTAGTAAGGGCCAGTTTTGGCAGACAGAGAGCATGCAGAAAACAGGCCAGAGTCTGTGGTGAGGGAGAAATCACAAACGAGCTATAGTATTATCTTAGGAAAAACAAAAGAGGTTTCCAGCAGCCAGCCTGGTGAGTTGTAAGGTTGAGAGAAGACAAAGAAGCTTAAGATTTCTGCCACAAGGGGGCAAGAAGCAGGGAGCACATGTATTCCTACAAGGACAGAGAAAGCCTCAGTTATAAGCAGGACCCATAAAAAGTATCTCTGACCAGAAGGCATCTAGTAATATTTGGAGGAGGCGACTACTTCAAATGAGAAGACAGCAATGCAAAACTCCAAGAAACATGAGGAATCAATGAAACATGACATTACAAAAGATCTCAATAATCCTCTAGTAAATGAACTCAAAAGACAGAATTCTGTGATTTACCTGATAATTCAAATTAGCTGTTTTAAAGAAACTCAATGAGCTACAATAAAACATAGAACTCAATAAGCAGGAAAGCAATACATGAGTAAAATGAGAAATTCAACAAAGAGAAATCATAAAAACAAGCCAAACAAATCTGGAGCTGAAGAGTGAATGAAATGAAAAACGCAATAGAGAACATCAACAGGAGAATAGACCAAGCAAATATAAAATCAGAGAGGTAGAGGATGGGGGCTTTGAAATACCCCAGTCAGAGGAGAACAAAGAAAAAAGGAATGAGAGTGAAGAAAGCCTACAAGATGTGTGGGACACCACAAAACAAACAAGAATATAAAAAATACTGTAATCTCTTAATGAATTCAGAATATAAAAAGTAAAAAATGGTAAAATCAAAAACATAAAAGGGGCAGTAAAAGAGTAGAGCTTTTGTATGTGATTAAAGTTGCTATCCATCAGCTTAAAATGGACTGTTTTATAAGATTTTTTTAAAGATTTATTTATTTTAAAGAGAGGGCAGGGGAAGGGGCAAAGGGAGAGGGAGAGAAAGAATTCTCAAGCAGTCTCCTCACTGAGTCCGGAGGCTGACACAGGGCTTGATCCCAGGACCCCAAGATCATGACCTGAGCCAAAATCAAGAGCCAGCCACCTAACTGACTGAGCCACCCAGGTGCCCTTATAAGATGTTTTACGTAAGTCTCACGATAACCACAAAGCAAAAATCTATTAGATTCACAAAAGATAAGTGAGGGGAGTCAGAGCATACCACCACGGAAAAGAGAGGGGAAAAAAGAACAATGGAACTCCAAAATAGCCAGAGAGTTATTTATAAGATGGCATTAGTAAGTCTACATATTAATAATTTCTCTAAATATAAATGAATTGAATTTACCAATCAAAAGGCATAGAATGGCCAGACGGATAAGATTCAACTATATGCTACCTACCAAAAGTCACTTCAGCTTTAACGTCCTACATAGGCTCAAAGTGAAGAGATGGAAAAAGATATTCCATGGAAGCAGAAAGTGGGATTGGCCTTACAGGGTTGGCCCATACTTATATAAGACAAAATAGACTTTAAGTCAAAAATTATTATGAGACAAAGAAGGTCATTATAGAATGATAAGGAGGTCACTTCATCAAAAAGATATAACGATCATAAATGTTTATGCACCCAATATTGGAACACCTAAATATGTTAAGCAAATACTTACAGATCTGAAGGGAGAAATAGGCAATACAAGAACAGTAGGTGATTTCAATACTTCACTTTAAGTAACAGATGGATCATTCAAACAGAAAATCAATGTAGAAACATTTCACTTGAATCATACATTAGACCAACTGGACCTAACAGAACATTCCACTCAACAACAACAGCAGAATACACATCTTCTCAAGTGCACGTGGAATATTCTCCAGGATAGATCATATGATAGGTCACAAAACAATTCTTAGGAAATTTAGACTGACATCATACCAAGTATCTTTTCCAACCACAATGGTATGAAACTAAAAATCAAAAAACAAGAGAAAGCTGGAAATTTTACAAATATGTGGAAACTAGGCAACACACTCCTGAATAACCAATGGGCCAAGGAAGAAATCAAGAGGAAAAAAAAAAATCCCCAAACAAATGAAAATGGAAACTCAACAGACAAATACATAAGTGATGCTCTAAAAGCATTTCTTAGAGGGAAGTTTATAGCAATAAATGCATGTGTAAGGGAAAATGAGAGATTTTAAATAAACAACTTTAAATGTCAAGGAACTAGAAAAAGAAAAACAAACCAAGGCCAAAGTTAGCAGAAGGAAATAAAGATCAGAGCTGAAATAAATGAGATAGAGACTAGTAAACCAATAGAAAAGATTAGCAAAGCTAAAAGCTGTTTTTGAAAAGATGAAATTGACAAAACTTTAGACTAAGAAAAAAAGCAAAAAGGGGCACCTGGGGGGTTCAGATGGTTAAGCGTTTGCCTTTGGCTCAGGTCATGATCTCCAGGTCCTGGGACTGAGCCCCACATCAGGCTCCCTGCTCAGTGGGGAGTCTGCTTCTCTCTCTCCCTCTGCCTCCCCCCCATAATCCTGCCAATTATCAGGTAAATCACTTGTACTCTCTCTCAAATGAATAATAAAATCTTAAAAAATAAATAAATAAAATTATTCTAACAACACATTATATATAAAAAAGAAGAAAAGCAAAAGGATCCAAATAAAATCAGAAATGAAAGAGAAAACATTCCAACTGATATCACAGCAATACAAAAGATCATAAGAGACTACTATGAACACTTGTATGCTAACAAATTGGGTAATCTAGAAGTGGATAAATTCCTAGAAACATATGACCTATCAAGACTGAATTATGAAGAAATAAAAAATCTGGAGAGACCAGTTTCCAATGAAGAAAAGCCCAGCACCAGATGGCTTTGCTGTTGAATTTTATCAAACATTTGAAGAATGCCAATTCTCAAACTCTTACAAAAAATTGAAGAGGAGGGAACACTCCCAAGCTCATTTCAAAAGGTTAGCCTTACCCTGATGCCAGA